TCAATCGATGCACTTGCCGACGCTATTAATAAATTTACTGGAGGTGCGTATTTTTCATTCGCTTTTTTGTCTTATGTTTACTGTAAGAAACCAATGTAATGTCTCACTTGGACCTGTAGTAGGACTTTAAAGGTAATGTGTCCATATAAAAGGACTGCGTTTACCCAACTTGTCAAGCCACCCATCAAAATAACAGTTTGCGATTGGTTAGTATTCTTGCGATGCAAAACTGCTCACATGAAAAGCTAACCTCGCAGCAGTATAGATAAACAAAACGACCGTAATGACTGGGGCGATGACATGAAAAATCACATGTTTCTAAAAACTCCTGCACAGTCGCTTGCTATAGCTGGACACATTACCTTTGAACAATAATGATGGAGATATAGTTATTGAAATTGTCTTAGTTTTACACTATTTGTCAGCTTTAGTGCAACAGAAAGCCGCCTTTAGAAACACATTACATTGTTCTGGCTCAACCCATTGGATAAATGCCTTAGTTTTTTGTGATTTTCATTCCTTTTGTAACGATAGAAATCTTATTTTCGAGTACATGTACAAAACAAATTTTTTAAACCTGAAAAAGATATTATTCTCGTTTATTTCATAATATTCTCATTCTCATTTATTATTTATTATCCATGATTTATTCAACATATTTAGCACATAAACTAAACTAAAATTTCTTCAATCAAGAAGCTAGAGATTTTGTTGATTAATTTCAAAGATCTAAAATTGTTACGTAATTTGAAGAACAGCAAAAAAACGTCCGTTTTTCTAGAACGATATTGGGTTAACCAGTAACATACACGATTTCAATCAAGACAATTTTGGAATACAAATTAAATTTATGATTAATTGCAGCGATGGTTATGATGATGATTTCTCAATGAAAATCGTTATGATATTTATGAAATGAAAGATATTTTGATTATAATTTATCAATTAATTCTGTCAACAATTTACTGATAAATATATAATTGTGATTTCTCATTGTAAATTATTATAATATTTTCTCAGTCATATATGAATTGTTTTTCCCTTAGGGGTGATTATTGTCAGCCATGATGCTCGACTTATATTAGAAACAGACTGTCGTCTCTCGATTGTTGAGGACCAGTCAGTGGAAGAGATCGACGGGGATTTTGATGATTATAGAAAGGAAATTCTCGAAGCACTTGAAGAGCCTATTGCAAACAAACACTAACTTCTGTTATTCAAAATCAATTTTACATTTATTGGTTGGTATAGTACAAAGTATAAGAATTTCCTTCGCATAATCTCGCTTTGTCCTGTTTTTGCATTTTCTTGTGGCTGATTTTTCTTGTAGAGCCAAAGAACACCACGTCCTCAACCTGTTCTGATATTTTCAATGTTCTTCTACCTTCGCATCTTCCGATGTCTTTTTCGGTTCAGGTGCTCATTGCCTTTCAACCCAATGTTTACTCTATATTTTATTCTTTAAATTTTAAACATCGTTAGCTTAGTATTTATGTTAAAAAGTTCCACGTCCAAAATCTTAAAAACTGTAAAAATCCGAATATTACAATTTAGAATGCCGATAGGGACGAAAAATATAGCATCTAATGGTTTTGCTCGATTGGGTATAAAGAGCAAAAAACCAGCAAACACAGAGAGGGTGGAGGGGGGCTAATTTGAAGATTTGCGCCAGAGGATAAAGGGATTCAATTTTCCCATTTGAGGTAATTGAACTCGAGGTTCTGTAAGAGCCTCGTTTGGACTAATTTTCAAATTGAAAATAAACATGGCTGCTATCCACGTGGAAAGATCACTAATCAACTAAAGGAAAAAGGTAATCGAAACGGCTATTTTCACAAATAAGTGTTATGGTAATTGTCATTCAATATTACGATTCCTTCCTGTGGTACAGTTTAGGTTTTAAAATGCTCTATTAATGGGTAAAAGCATCCAAATCAGAAGCAATCGTTTATCTATAACGTGGCCAATGAATGAAAATCTATTTCAAATTTTTGCATTATTAGATCAACTATATTATATAGTTTCTTGTAATGTTATTAAAGAGCTCTTTATCAAGTCAATTTATGATCGAGTTTTTCTATTCAGTTTATATTTTGGGTTAGATAATAATCTCATCGTTTTTTATTATATTCTCCATATGAATATTCCTTCCCTGTGTAATAGAATAATCCCATGTCGAATAAATATTTGGGAAAAATATGTTTATTTGCATTTCACTCGTTAAGGATCCATGCTACTTTTGGAAAAAGGTTGAGAAAGAAGGCTGTCACAGTCTTCAGAAGATCCCCAGTTAAGGGACGAGGGTCTAAAATTTCTTGTTGACTTCTTAATATATGTTCTATTAAAATAGAAGCTAAGGTGAGAAAAAATCCTATTTAAAGTTCAGATTCAGTTCAATATCATAAAGTGAGACAGATGCACATGTACCTTAAACTCTCTTTTAATGAGCATCTATTCTCTAGACCTCAGTCAGGGCTGCCGGGCGGAGGTTGGAACAGTGGGGGGGGGTGCAAAATGATAATGAAGAATAATTTATAACTCCTCGTGGGAGATGAAGTTTTTGTTTGAGTAAATCTTTCCTCAATGTTTGATTCATATTTTCCTTAAAAAATGAGAGGTGGTGGCCCCGGTTAAGCAGCAGGCACACGTCCTTCGCCGATATTTGTGAAAGGTGCATTATATTCGCAAATATTCAGATTAATTACAACATACCAAAGAAAAAATTAATCCACATTAATGCAATCATGTGTGCAAAAGAACTAAAAACTTACAGGTTAAACTGACAATATAATGTACAGAACTGAAAGATATTCTTGAATTTTCAATCTATCATTTTATAGCGAATTTTCAGTTTCTATCTCTTTCAAAGCGAATTTTTAGTCTCTATCTTTTTCAAAGTAAAGTTTCAGTCTCTATCTCTTCCAAAGTTAGCAAGATAAAAAATAAAAAAACCAAGACACTGTGTAATAGTATGCTGGTTGGCCCATATGTACTGAGGAATTTTTTTGCAGTAGATTGTTAGAGAATGAGAATCATAGAAGGCAAAATACCTTGCTGTGAAAAAATAGTATGCACAACATATTTTTCAAAGAGGGCACTTTTTACACTTTTTCTAATCAGGGGGGCCTGTGCCCCTGTGGCCCCCTCCCAGCTCTGACGGCCCTGTTATTTGCACCTGTAAGTCCACTTTTAAGCATAAAGCTATCCTGCTTGCTTCTTGCCATGTGCACACAAACACTCCAAAAAAAATTTAAACTTTTTTGTGAAAGCAGGTACAAGGCAAAAGTATAACCCAGATTGGAATCTTTGAAAGATGCGTCAGGGACCTGCTCGTGTACATGAAAATTGCGCATTGCAAATAGCACAGATAAAAATTTTGTGGGGCTGGGACTAATTGCCATAAAATACAGTTTGGCTATACATTTCAGAGAAAAACAGCTGGATGAATCATTTTAATAGAAATATCGCGGCTGCATCCCCTGCTGATAGTTGATGTGTGTGGGGATTTAAAAATTCCAATCTGGAGTATAACTAAGGCAGCATAAGTGTCCTATTTATTTACTTTAAAAATGTGTTTTAAGAAAAATACTGTTTATCATGTTTAAAAAGTGCACAATTCTCTTAGTGCAGAAAATATTATATTGTTTTATACTGTTTTCAGATATTTTTGCTGTTTCTGCTAACTTTCCCAAAAAAAATTTATTGAACCCTGATTCTGCAAAAATGAAGCCCCCCCCCCCTCCCCCTCAAAATATGTCCCCTGGCATTGATTACTTGTGTGATTGAAAATATTTTAGATCAATTTCCACCTTCTTTCCATTTTATTTTAGTCTAATGTTGAATACTTTTGACTTTGATATTGTATTATGTTTCATTACCCCTTTGACTTTTCTTACATTTTGTTGGCTGGCCTTTACAACCTTAGTGTCCTCTCCCTTTTTGACCAAGAAGAGCACCAGCCCCAGTCTACACCTTTTTGACCAGTACAAATTTGTGTACTTTCTGTGGTATTTTCAGCTAGAATACAGTGAGATTGCAAGGATAACTGATTAACTGATCTAAAATCTTTGAAATGTTTATCTTTCATCCCTTTTACACTGTTTCCTTTTCAATATTTTCCTTCCTTTTATTCTAAATTTAATTCTTTTTTACAGGCCATCCTTTGCTGTTTTATTTTTTGAATTTTGCTTCAGTGTTTCCTTTTTAAAGTTCCTTTTCTTTTTTCTTACCTTTATTCATTCAGTTTTTTCATTCTTTAAAAATTTCCGTTCCTGCCCCTTTTAATAGTTCTCTTGAACATTCCCTTTCTAAAGTTGCCTTTCATCCAATCTAACTTTGATTCCCGCTTATGAAACTTCCTCCAACATTCCTTTTTGGAGTTCTTTTCAACTTTCCCAATTAAAAGTTTACTTTGTTCTATTATTACCTTAGCTCATTCTTATCAGACTTCCTTCAAATATTTGTTTTTTTTAAACCTCTCTTTTTTAAACCCTCCTTTCTTTCGATCTTACTTTTATTCATTACTTCAAGACTTACTTTAAAGATTTATTTTTAATGTTTCCTTAAAAGTGTCAATTTCAAAACCTCCTTCCTTTCGATCTTACTTTTATTTATTCTTTCAAGACTTACTTCAAAGATTTGTTTTTAATGTTTCCTTGAAAGTGTCTTTTTCAAACCCTCCTTCCTTTCGATCTTACTTTTATTTATTCTTTCAAGACTTACTTCAAATATTTGTTTTTAATGTTTCCCTGAAAGTGTCAATTTTAAACCCTCCTTTCTTTCGATCTTACTTTTATTCATTCTTTCAAGACTTTCTTCAACGATTTTTTTTAATGTTTCCTTGAAAGTGTCTTTTTAAAACCCTTCTTCCTTTCGATCTTACTTTTATTCATTCTTTCAAGACTTACTTCAAATATTTGTTTTTAATGTTTCCTTGAAAGTGTCTTTTTCAAACCCTCCTTCCTTTCGATCTTGCTTTTATTTATTCTTTCAAGACTTACTTCAATTATTTGTTTTTAATGTTTCCCTGAAAGTGTCAATTTTAAACCCTCCTTTCTTTCGATCTTACTTTTATTCATTCTTTCAAGACTTTCTTCAACGATTTTTTTTAATGTTTCCTTGAAAGTGTCTTTTTAAAACCCTTCTCCCTTTCGATCTTACTTTTATTCATTCTTTCAAGACTTTCTTCAAAGATTTATTTTTAATGTTTCCTTGAAAGTGTCAATTTTAAACCCTCCTTTCTTTCGATCTTACTTTTATTCATTCCTTCAAGACTTACTTCAAAGATTTATTTTTAATGTTTCCTTGAAAGTGTCAATTTTAAACCCTCCTTTCTTTCGATCTTACTTTTATTCATTCCTTCAAGACTTACTTCAAAGATTTATTTTTAATGTTTTCTTGAAAGTGTCAATTTCAAACCCTCCTTCCTTTCGATCTTACTTTTATTTATTCTTTCAAGACTTACTTCA